TACTGATTATTTTGAGTCTAAAACATATAAAAAAACTTAAACAATACTGGAGCTATTGATATTCAATCATAGAAAAACCTTATAATTTTTTTTTATGTTGGATGTTCACCTTGCGTTTGCTTGAAAACCGTCCGATTTGAATAACTAATATCTTAAATGCAAGCCGGTATTTCACTAAAGGTTCTTAGACCAAAATATATAGGGTTATATAATTACAAATGGTAAAATTATGTACAATTTAAATTGAAATACGAATTAAAAAATATATCAAACCTATGTTTTTTGGTCGAGTAATAAAGTAGATAAATATACGATGATGCTTGATGTGAAATATATGTGTGCATACTACCAATTTAAGACCTCAATCATGAAGATCGGACGTGTAGAAGAGCCAAAGAAACTCGGAAAAAAAACAAATTTAACTCCCTTTAGAAATACATGGGGGGTAAATTTAATTTACGTATAAGCCGAGTGGGACTGTCGATAAATATATACTGATGCTTGATGTGAAATCTGTGCGTGCATACCTTCAATTTGAGACCTCGATAATGAAAATCGGGTGGGTAGAAGAGCCAAACGAACTCGGAAAAGAAAAACCAAATTTAACTCCCATAAGAAATACATGGGAAAAAATGTTGTTTACGTATAAGCCGAGTGGGACTGTAGGCAACTATATGCCGATGCTTGATGTGAAATCTGTGCGTTAATACCTTCAATTTGAGACCTCAATCATGAAAATCGGTTGGGTTGTAGAGCCAAACGAACTCGCTAAAGAAAAACCATTTTTTTAAATATATATATTCATGATATTTTCGTGTTTTCCGGAACATGCTGTAATTCACAAGTGGCAAACACCTAAAACCTTAAAGTACATGTCAATACAAACCAAAAAATGTATATGTCGAAAATTCCCACGGGGGGGGGAGGGGGGGTAAACGCCAGCCTCCGCTCTATAAATCGTGAGTTATGAAGAATTGTAGACTTTATTGAGTTGGAAGAGAGGTATGTATTTTGCAACAATAGAATTAGTTTGTGCAGACCTCCGTTGTGGTAGGTTATGTTGAATAGATGGGTTTTTGGACGATGGTTTCGAAAACCTTTTTAAGAAAAATCTCTATCGGTAAATGAAAACTTATAGTTGAGTGAGCAACCAGCAGAGTGTGCTTCAGTATAAAATTAAATCTTAACCATACATTTTAACTGTGACGAGGAACACAAGACTCTAAAGTCTACATTAAGTTAGTTGACCTTTCAGTATGGTTTGGTTATAACTATTATTGAACTTTCAAGCACTCCGTAATAGCTCAATTTAACTTAATAACCTTTATTTCTATTCATAAACTGTCTAATACATAAACATGAGAATGTAATATCTAGTTGTATCTGTAGTGAAAGCTTGTGTTTACTAACATAATATATCTAACACAAATTTGTCGATTTCAACGTATGAAGATCTGTACTGATTGTTCCAATTCAGCTCCACTTTGTATTGCTTCTGTGCCAGTGGGTGAGGTGACCTCAAAGATCGTCTAATTTCGGTTTTGTAAAGTTCAAACGACCACCCCGCCCTATTCATCCTGATCTGGATCATATTAGGCAACCAGCTGACTGACCATGTCCCACAACCGCATCAGCTGTAAAAACACCACCAGCTGCATATTACATTTTGAGACAATTTTAAAACTGAAAATTGTCATGCTTCTTCGACTCAGTTGAAGTAGAATGGATTAGTTTTAATTACATTAGTAAGCTTCTATGATCTTATAATATAGTCTTAGATAAGAACAATCTCTAAAAGTACATTTTTACCGACAACGTATTTATTTTATTTTTGAATAAGGAAGAAGAATTCTCATCATTTAATTAAAACGATGTTTGACTCATTACTCGATTATTGGCGGTTATGACAAACTACTTTTAGAACAACCTAAGCGAAAGATGGAAGAATAAAATGATACCATACGGATAAAGTTATATTCATGAAGTATATTTAAAAATATGTATTTTAGAAAATTAATGCTTTAAAGTAATGTTTTAATCAATAGGAGCGAAGATCCCTTCAAATTACATCAGTGGACGCGTACTTCGTCCAAAATCTGCGTAAGGCCCAATGAAGTAAAAAATAACAGCTATAACTTGAGAAAAATAGTTGCTATACAATCATTTAAGTGGTTTTTAAGAAACGTTGATCTTGGAAACACACTAATTAACTGAACAAAGTAAAACGTATACAAATAAATATACATAAGTTCTGTTAGATACACTATACTAACACGGTCTAATAGAATTGCACCAACAGATTCCTTTTTAGTGATTGGATCACTTAATAACGGAGTGAAATGGACTCCAAAAAGGTCCAGGAAGTGTATTGAGCCAGTTCTAAATAGGAGGGTGAGAGAAATCATGCCGGAGCGTCGTTTAGATTGACAATGAATCGTTTAGAGGACGGTTTAGATCACCAATTTGCTCCAGGAGCAGTACTAAACGATCTGTCGGGTATTAAACGAGCAATGACATGACGATAGAGTGTCCCACGCACAGGATGATCTACTGAAGAAAGCAGCTGGGAATTCGATCAGCTGATATGGCAAATCAGCTGTTACCAGTGTTACCATCTCACGGATGACGGCGCAGAATGGTTCTCTTACTATACTGCGGAGTTGACTTTAGACAGGGCTATGTTATATGCAAAGTTGTATTGTAGTAAGTTTGAATTGATACATCTAATTTGTATGTTAAAGCTGTAGCCACCTAAATATTTGAAATATACTTCTTGAATTGAACCACCAACGTTATGTTAATAACAGATTTATGTAGAATATTCCAACCTTTTAACCAACAAATTAAAGGGATAAATCATTGTTAACACCAGTTATGTGAGATTAAATATTAGTATCAAAGACTAAAGGGTTAAATCGAATTTATTCAACAGTGTACTCTTCTGATCGGCTCATATAAATACAATATTTTAATAATGAAAAAGGGATCCATATGGATGGGATGTCTGCTGGGATGTTAGTTGTAGCTAAATATCTAGAGTTAGTTTGTTTTGGGGAAACTATGGATTTCACCAAGTACACTTCATACCTGAAATCATTTATACGAAGCAGTTTTTGTAATTTATTAAGCTGTTTTGATCTTGGTTGTGGGCTTAGAAGCTACAGCTTATGAAATAGCACTTTACATTGAACAAGTTTGCGTCAAATAAAACATGGAAAGGAAGCGTAATAATTTTATTCTTCATTAAAAATGTGTATTCAAAGTAAATAACAATTTAAGCCTTACACTTGAACTCATGCCCAACAGAGCGTGTACTTCGACCTATAAGTATTTGAAATATGAGCACCTTATAATGTACTTGTTACAGAAAATCAATTCAATACATTAATAAAACACGGATAAAGAATAAACAGCTATAACAATTTTTTCTTCAATAGTTGAATGACTGGTCTACACGCAAAGATACAGTTCGGTGCATTAGGATGAGTGCAGTAGTTTAAGTATCTTTTGAACACAAATGTTATATTTGACATTTTGAAAAGTCAAGGAAGCCACTGACGAGACAAATTCATTGATGTTCAGTAAAAGTAAAGTTTCGTTGTCATACTACAATGATTCGAGCATTCCTTATAGCTATCAGTTTGGAGGTCACCACTTCGAAGGTGTTGTTGGGAATTTCAGCGTTGTTTCAGCGATTTCTTAAATAGCATTCGATTAAAGTATAGTGTGTAAAAGTTATATCTGTACTGTGACGGGTAAACTTGGACACTTTAATAATAAAATATTTGTTTAGTCCCTTAAGTTTGGATTGAATTCAAAGTTTAACTGGTCACACTAATTGGGGCTTTTTCATCATCACATATAATTTGCGCAAAGTCAAACAATACTCAATAGATGATTTGCGTATTGATAAGTAGACAAAGCGATTTAGATATTTGTCAAACATGTAAAAATGTAGCAGTTTCAATGAGCTACAAGTAAGTAACAAATGTGAGTTGAACAAGTTATTCCAAACCTATTTAAAGGTATAAACTATTACCCATTTGTGCATAGAATAGTTAATAAAAAAAATGGGACTTGGTATAACTGTGTTCAATCCATAAATTGTTCATCTCACCTTCCTAAGTGTATTGGCCAAGAAAGAAAAAGTATCGTACAAGTGCAGACAAAACTGCTATGGATATCATTGACTACGCAACATATTTTGTCTATTATTTTTTACATGTTCGATTTAATTAATTACGGAACATTAAAATATAAAAACGGAAACCCTAATCATTGCAAAATTATTCTACTTTTATTTAATTTATTTCATTCCGCCTTATGGCAGTATAAATGTAAAAATGTTTTCGAATACCGGTACTGTAACGATTTTTATTTTATAACTGTTATCAAAATTATATAACCACTTATAAGACTTATATGATACTTATATGATATCAATGTACATGACTATAGTGTATATGTAGAATTTAGAAAGCCTTTCAGCAGAGGCTTGAGAGATTTCAAAATCATGACATAAATGTTCTAAGTAAGGTAAGTAAAAAAATATAAAAAAATAACTCCCATCACCGTTTTGGCTATTGGATGTACAGTTTGGTAATACATTAATGACAGACAGAAGCATATTCAATTTTATCTGGTGGTTATTATGCTGGCAAAGACTGTGCACGCATCAAAACTCCATAAGGGCTATATTTCTTTTTGTATTACAAATGGATACCAATATTCGTTCACTGTACACAATATTATACTACTACAAACACATTTCGAAGCAAAGTTTAATCACAAGAAAACACCCGACGCCCCATAGATCCCCGACACATTGAGCAGCGTATCACAAAACGTGCTCACGAGGAAGTAATCAGCAGCCAATCCTGAGTTGAAAGTGCAGATATCAATATTGGGATGAGTCTGGTGATCCTTGACCCAGTGGGGCGGGGGCCGGCGCTGCTGGAGTGCTGGAGCAAGAGCTGGAGTCAGTTACAGTGTGCCCGTCGTAGTGTCTAGTGCTGTGGAGTGGGGCTGGTGAGTCTGCCATGCTCTCTTGGTCTCTTGGTGGAGGGGTCACTAGTTTAATATTAGTTTATACTTATTCGATAATGTTTTAACTTATTCTGTATTTTATTTATGTCCATAACAATATTTTTGTTCACTTCTCCGTCGTCGTCTTCGTTTTTCGTGGGGATTGGTTGGACTTAAGATCCCTCTTGTTTTATTTTTGGTTTTGTTTATTTCATTTTGTGTTTATCCACGATTTCCATACTTAACAGATTTTTGTAAGGGAGTTCCAATGGCATTTCTTAATGGCGACCTTTTGTTAAATACTGATTATTGATAGCCCCAATATAAATAGCATCTAGGTGTAGAATCAATCCCACTTTAATAAAACCAGCGAATTTCCAACCACTGCTTTATAATTCACATTTTTACCACTACTCTACCTAAATAGTTTTGAATGGTATTTTGCGTTAAATGTGTTTGTACGATTTACAAGTCAGTTAAACATTAAAACCACTCTATAATGTTTAAATCTTTTTCATTTTTAACTGAACAAATACGTAAAATAGAGTACATCTAAGTAAAATAGACAAAAGAAAACTTATGCACACAAACTTGTGTACAAGTTAATAATGAATTAAGTAAGAGAGATTATGTCTTCATTATTTTTGTGTGAGCTTTAATGCTGCTGACATAAGAAAGCGCAATAAGATTATACGTTCGTTAAAGTCTCTGCAAATCTACGTTTAATTTCTTTGGTTTATTTTAGACCAACCGGTTGATGCTTAGACCAAGTTACGAAAGAGTGAATCAAATTAATAAATTCAAATGCAATCAACTACAATTTCGTATAATAAAGTGGTAAAGGTATTAAACTAGAGTATTAGAAAAATTTGGCTTAAAGTCTGACTATTTTATAATAGATAAAATTACTTTCAAATATTGTATTCAAATATCGAAAAAAGCAATACAATTAGTACTTATCTTGGTTTAAATATTACAAATTAATTCAAACTTTGAACTGTGAAAACGTTATAACACAAATAAATATTACTAAACAATGGTACAATACAAAAAATGTTTTCGAGTGGTTGGTCAATTTTAAAAAAACATTACTTTATAGAACTAATATACAAATTTGTCACAGTTTCAACTATAACTACAGTTTAATAATAATAACAAATAGTGCAAAATATTGTAGGCCTATTAAATAGTGAAACATTTTGTCGTAAGATAAAATACACACTTAAATTGTTGTATAGCATTAAAAACACGCTAAAAAAAATGAAAAATTCTTTTATTTTGTCTAAGCTTAACAAACTGCCTAATAACATAACTAATTAATAGCTGTTTTATGCTCACTGGCGATGGTGTATTATTTTACGTAGGGGCAGTAAAATCACCAGCTATGATCTATCAAGGATTTATCTTTTATAATTTACTCAATGATTGTGGAAAAGTAAAGTAAAGTAGAAACCACTTGCTGCAGTAATTAATTGATAATAAACATTTTTTCTTCAACCATTACGAGGTGTTAGCCCGTCCTACGTACGGGAGTAGTCAGTTAAAACTGTGTAGGCCTATAATTCAGAACAGCTAGTTTACATGTATAAAGACAAATTTTTTGCAGCCTACAGTAGAAAGAGTAATTATCAATTGAGAAGAGTATAGGTCTAGTCAATGATATCACCTTCCATGCATACCTGCCTCTTCCATAATCAATATCACTACAATACAATAACTCATACTATACACAATTTCCAGTAGGTCTGAATAGAAACTCCCTAAAATAAAACGAAAACATTCAATAACATTCACAGTACACATAATTATAACGTTGGTGTCCTGACATCATTAAACGAATCGTCCACACACATCCTTTATGTCAATTTTACTGCATCAATTGCTAAATAAATAAGTGTAAACAAAGAAAAGTAAACACGACAACATATTAGTTTGTTTTGTAAACAGCTGATTCAAAAATAAAATAATATTCAACTAAACAAAAGAACTAGTTACATGTTGAAGGAATTTAAAAAGTAAAAACGCTAGTAAAGCTAGTGACGTAATTATTTGTATATATGTTTATTATCCATTCCGTTATCAGTTCTAATATCCTTGATAATTAAACCACCCTCATTGAATCAATGTACATCGTAATTCCCGATATTTATTTATTTAAACTATAAAATATTCAGCGCCTCCAAACGTAACCACAACTAAACACACGCCAAACAACTTTTTAGATTTCATAAAAGGATGGTTAGTCTAATTGCAGTACCCTAGGTCAATGATGACGTTGTGTTCAATCTATGTCATTCATCTGTATATCTTTGGATAAAACCCGTCTGAGGTTGTGGTGTTAATTTAAAATCATATTCCTGAGGATTCTTGATCTCCATCTTTATGACATCAATATTTCCGGGACTAGTCCAAACAAAGTTCAAGCATTCAAAAACATTGATTATAAAAAAAGCTGCCAAGATGAATTAATACATGTAAAAATTGTGATTTTCCTACCCTTTCCAAAAAAGCTGAGCAGTAAAATAATTTGCATATCTTTTTTTAACTCGTGTACAGAGCCTCAACTTGTACACATCGATGGTGTTACTTATCTTGGTGGTCTACTGATCTTACTTATTTTCTATAATCAATGACAACATCAGAGTAAATAACCTCATAGTTCTGTAGGGCATTTTTATAATTAACCAGCTGTTAGTTAAAACAAATGGTATTGCACTAAAACAAACTGAAGATTACAAAGATTACTTAAAAAAATTTGAACATCCTAGTATTTTACTATGTATATTTACATAATCCGTCATCCTCTTATCGAAGGATTGAAAGTATCAATGTTTAGCATTACACGTAGTATAAATAAGTCAACCCTTAGTATGTCTTTTAATTTGATCCAAATGCTGAATTTGTGTTACAAACGCTGAATTCGAACGTATTTTAATCTTGTGGTGGGAAAAGTATATACACAATAGAAGAGGATTTAATACAAAAATGAACAAAATCATGGCCAAAAACTATAAAGGCTCTATGTGCCGCCAGTGGTATTACTTAAACCTTTTGATAATAATTCAACATAGTATATATAGTTTTGGGATTCAGAAATGGTAAAAGCGTATTTTATAAATTTAAAATCGTAGTTAAAATCTAACACTTGCGCTGAAGCAAACCTGCAGACTAAGCGAATTTCAACTTGTATGATTAAATTTGTATTTAAACATATTCATAGATAAGACATATTTATTCCCAATTTAAATAACATTATATTCAACAAGTGCTTAGGTTTGCTGCTATGGGGGAGGTAAAAAGTGTTTTTGACCAAACTGAATAGCATAGGAGGAAATAAATTAATTTGCCAAATTGTATCAACATATATCCATGAACAAGTAAACTACAACAGTTTTATTTTTCTCTATAAAAATAACATGGAGATTTTGAACTTACACTTTTTTTAATTTTCTCTGTAACCTTTAGGCATACAAAAGAGCTTCAATATACTAAATTATTTATTTTTTAAGCTCTACGAAACGGTTTCGAAAGAAGTCCGGAAGAACCCCATTTTTACCCCCCCCCCCCCATAAACCCCCGTTCCCATGGTCCGATCATGGTGGTTCGCGAACTCGTTCGAATGAATGTAGGTTTACACGTTTATATCAAATTTCAACAATATCGGATCATTTTTGCTCGAGTGATAATGAGTGATAATGGACACATATATAAATATATGAATTTGAACAAATGGCGTTTTTGGCCTCTGGGGTCCTCAAAACGAAAAAGTAAATCGGTCCCGGGACCAGGTCTTACAGTGAGACCTACGGTAATAGCTTATTCCCTATATGGGAAATTCGCTAAAAATGCCCGGATATAGGTTAATTTTGCAGCTATGTTTACTAAAACGGCTTCAAACAAATTTTAGAATCTCCTCTTTCAATTGATTCTCACCCCGAGATGATAAGTTTCAAAACTGTAACAATAATTAATTAACAATCACCCTGTATATGCGGTGCTGGAGATGTAAGACATTTACCAAGCTGTGTATCTAAATATAGTATTTTAGGCAACATATGGGTATTAAATTACTCTTTCGTGAAATTGTAGTTGATTTCAAACTGTTAAAATCCCCCTTTGGCTTTATAGAAAAAAATCCTTTTTAGCCCTAAGCTATATTTTTGGTTTCGTCATAAAGGTCGTCTTACATCTTTGTCACAAATATAACCGAGCGATTTGTACTAACCACTCATACAACCTATGTTAATCGAAGATCGGTTCGTAGCAACATTGCCTTTGCAATATAACACATAAGTAGTTTTATTGCTGTAATTTTACAGTATTTTAAGCTCAATCAAATGAAACTTAAGAGCTAGATTCTGTTATGAAAAGTAACTCCCGTATAATTTATCGTTATCATAACTTAAAGACAGCGAGGCACACCATGCGTATTATAAACTGTATATGAAAACAAGATAAGAGTAGAACGTAGTGAGTTGATCGATGTTGCTGAACCAAAATCAAAAAGTATTGTTACTAGTGGCTGGTAAGAAGAAGGAGAGAGAGTTGAACGAAATTCGGAATTATGAATAAAAAAAAATTTGATCGAAAGCATAAATAAAATGATGTAATCAAAGAATCAAATTACGATTGACAAGTGGTAATCAGCCAATGACAAACTACATATTAAGTAAGCGAGTTGCAGTTTGTGATGAGATCAATTAACTAACATACAGGAAACGATGCGGTGAAATCCCTTGTTGCCTTTTAGGACAACACAAGACTACAGACTACAGACAACCTTGTGCAGTGGCAAAACTACACTAATTAGTGGGGGAAAGCATAAGTGGTCTGTCCGCTTCATTCCATTCCGGTTTGTTTTGCCTAGGAATCATGCGTTCTTAAATATTTGCAATCATGTAGCTGGGTTTCTGAGAAAATATATCGCTTGCCTGGTAATCAGAAAACTGATGTTTCAATCCTCGTCAAAAATGAAATTTGAATATCATTGAAAAAATGAATCC